ACATCTGGTTGATATCAGTGTTGTTTTCCATTCACCGCTTTTCTTCTAAGTGTGGGTGGCATTTTTTTGTTTCATTGTATGTCTATCTAATATCTCTTTTACACAACTGCATTCTGAATGTTATAAACAGTCCATGGTAGAAAACTTGGGATTCTACTATGTTCTTTGGAAGAATAGTCATCAGTCTTTTAGTTTTGTGTTATATTAGTTACTTATCTGGACTCCAACTCCAAACTTTTTGCATGCTTATGGAAAGCAGCAACTATGATCACCTGTTCTGATCATTGGTTCATTTATTCCCAACCAGTGAACTTGGAGCCTGCCTAGGGCCTATATGTATATCTGGTATTGATAAGAGACTTGGGAAGAATTTATATGCATATTTTGAGGTTCCTGTAGCTTTCTTTTTTTTTTTTTTAGTATTTCTTCCTCACTTTATAGCAGCTGTAATTGTTCTTAGTTCTGTTCCTGGTTCTTTAAGACAGTAAAGTTAAAATAAGACAGTGAAATGTGGGTTTGAGTTTTAGTCACCTTACATGCACAGTCTAAGACATCTATTATCTTCCTTCTAAGCATATACATCCCTCCTGGTTTACTTACCTGTTTTGAGTCGCTCTTCAATGTCTTCAAGTATGAAATTTTAAAACGTGTATTTTGTTTAGAATTCATTGCTGTTATCTGTGAACAGTTTAATAGTAGCTACTCCACGATTGGGCTTCCCTGGTGGATCAGCAGTAAAGAATCTGCCTGTAATGCAAGAGACGCAGGTTTCACCCCTGGCTCTGGAAGATCCCCTGGAGAAGGATACGGCAACCCACTCCAGAATTCTTGCCTGGAAAATCCCATGGAGAGAGGAGCCTGGCGGGCTACTGTCTGAGGGGTTGCAAAAGAGTCAGACAGTGAGTGACAAAACAACAGCAACTCCACATTAATAAAGTAGAATCTCCATATGCAGGTTTTTAAAGATATCTCTGCCATTGCAAACCAAAATGTGGGATTTTAAGTCAGATCATCAAGATCATGCAAAATTGCATGAATATAGCACAGTGTTTGAGCAAGCAAATACAGTGTAAAAACATTCAAATAAAAACAGTGAAAATTTGGCGCATTTCTAAATGTTTACCATATAATCACCGCTTTTCTTCTAAGTGTGGGTGGCATTTTTTTGTTTCATTGTATGTCTATCTAATATCTCTTTTACACAACTGCATTCTGAATGTTATAAACAGTCCATGGTAGAAAACTTGGGATTCTACTATGTTCTTTGGAAGAATAGTCATCAGTCTTTTAGTTTTGTGTTATATTAGTTACTTATCTGGACTCCAACTCCAAACTTTTTGCATGCTTATGGAAAGCAGCAACTATGATCACCTGTTCTGATCATTGGTTCATTTATTCCCAACCAGTGAACTTGGAGCCTGCCTAGGGCCTATATGTATATCTGGTATTGATAAGAGACTTGGGAAGAATTTATATGCATATTTTGAGGTTCCTGTAGCTTTCTTTTTTTTTTTTTTAGTATTTCTTCCTCACTTTATAGCAGCTGTAATTGTTCTTAGTTCTGTTCCTGGTTCTTTAAGACAGTAAAGTTAAAATAAGACAGTGAAATGTGGGTTTGAGTTTTAGTCACCTTACATGCACAGTCTAAGACATCTATTATCTTCCTTCTAAGCATATACATCCCTCCTGGTTTACTTACCTGTTTTGAGTCGCTCTTCAATGTCTTCAAGTATGAAATTTTAAAACGTGTATTTTGTTTAGAATTCATTGCTGTTATCTGTGAACAGTTTAATAGTAGCTACTCCACGATTGGGCTTCCCTGGTGGATCAGCAGTAAAGAATCTGCCTGTAATGCAAGAGACGCAGGTTTCACCCCTGGCTCTGGAAGATCCCCTGGAGAAGGATACGGCAACCCACTCCAGAATTCTTGCCTGGAAAATCCCATGGAGAGAGGAGCCTGGCGGGCTACTGTCTGAGGGGTTGCAAAAGAGTCAGACAGTGAGTGACAAAACAACAGCCACTCCACATTAATAAAGTAGAATCTCCATATGCAGGTTTTTAAAGATGTCTCTGCCATTGCAAACCAAAATGTGGGATTTTAAGTCAGATCATCAAGATCATGCAAAATTGCATGAATATAGCACAGTGTTTGAGCAAGCAAATACAGTGTAAAAACATTCAAATAAAAACAGTGAAAATTTGGCGCATTTCTAAATGTTTACCATATAATAGCAGAATTTCTATTTTTCACATTACATAAACTTAGCCTTTTTCTAGATTATTTACTAAGTATATATATTACAGAACAGTATAATTTTTATTCTCTAGTGTACATATTTTAATCTCTAATGAAATACACAGTATAGGGAAAATAAATATTATTTGTTTTTTGTTTAGACTTGGTTTTTTAAGCTACAAATCCATATAAATTTACTTAGTCTAGATACTATTCAGAAGAAAAATGTCAGTCATAATTGTGTGGGTAATGATAACTGGCTTTTATGTCATTAACATTACATGACCTCAATTTGAATTGAGGTTGTAAGTCGATACACTATAAAGGTTCACCATCTACTTGTAGTTCATTTACACTTGCAATGTTTATATAATCTTTAAGTAACCCATATTGCATATAGCAATAAATATTACTCTGCTGCTTTTGAGTGGAAATAAATAGGTACAGTCTAACAGATTTAACTTATAATGAAGTGAGCTGCATTCTATAATACAACCTGCTGAAGATTCAATAAAAGCTCAGATATTGACTGACTCTTCAAATTGGTCATTAGCAACTAATTGGGGACTTTCCTTGACCAGTACACTTTACTGACTTTTAAAAATAAACAACAAAGTAGCTAATAAAATTTCAAAAGGCCACTATTCCTTGACCACAAAGCAAGGCAAGTAAATTATGAACAGGTTAATTTTGAGCGCATAATCAATAAACTAACAGAAACAAATCAATGGAAAGAACTGAAAGATAGTAAATGTAAATTTTATTGACGTCTTTAGTTTATGATTGGAAAACTCTATGAAACAACAAAGGAGTGGAGGCTGGATAAGTTATTTCTTTTATTAAGTATGTAAATTGATAAGCTCTGCTGAGAACCAGGTTTTGGCTCTTCTTTAAGCCCCAATGAGAATTAGCCTTCTGAGTTAAAGAGCTAAGTTCAAATCTTAGTTATTGGTCTTGCTAATTTATAACTTGGTGAATGTTGTTTGTCTTCTTTGAGCTGCATTTTCTTCACTTATAAAGTGGGACTAATAAAAAGTACACAATGGGATTAGTGGGGATTAAATCATATTACTTACTGAATATGAAATAGCTTCTTAATCAGTGTTACCTCTATACCCATAATCCTTCCATAACCATGTAATTTTGCTCACATTTTATAAATTTAATATATGATAAATTTAGGATATAATTCAATTCTATATTTTGGAACATAACAATATACAGAAAAATAATTTTCACCAGTCACCTCCTTTTGGCTTCCTCCCATGATTCCTCAGATCTGAAAAACTCCAGGCCTAACCAACTCCAATTAAGTCCCACAGTTCAGTTCAGTCGCTCAGTCATGTCTGACTCTGAGACCCCATGAATCGCAGCACGCCAGGCCTCCCTGTCCATCACCAACTCTAGGAGTTTACTTAAATCCATGTCCATTGAGTCGGTGATGCCATCCAGCCATCTCATCCTCTGTCGTCCCCTTCTCGTCCTGCTCCCAATCCCTCCCAGCATCAGGGTCTTTTCAGATGAGTCAGCTCTTCGCATCCGGTGGCCGAAGTACCGGAGCTTCAGCCTCAGTACCAGTCCCACAGGGCTGCATCACTGCAGGGCTCGGGGAGTCTCACCCACACCTTCAAAGTGGAATCCAAAGTCAGGGTCAGGTCAGGACTAGTCAGAGGGGAGGGAGACAAAAATCACAGAGTAAAACTGACAGTGAGCTGGGGCAATTTTAGAGGTTTTGGCTCCTGCCTGGGATGAATTGTTTGTAAATGAAGTTGTTTTGTTTGTAGAAGCTTGTTGTTCAGTTGCTCAGTTGTGTCCAACTCTTTGGGACCCCATGGATGGCAACACACCAGGCTTCCCTGTTCTTCAGCATCTCCTGGAGTTTGCTCAAACGCATATGCATTGGGTTGGTGATGCCATCCAACCATCTTGTCATCTGTCCTCCCCTTCTCCTCCCGCCTTCAATCTTTCCCAGCATCAGGGTCTTTTCCAATGACTCGGTTCTTTGCATCAGGTGGCCAAAGTATTGCAGCTTCAGTCTCAGCATAAGTCCCTCCAAGGAATATTCAGGATTTATTTCCTTTAGGCTTGACTGGTTTGATCTCCTTACTGTCCAAGTTACTCTCAAGAGTCTCCTCCAACACCACAATTTGAAAGCATCAGTTCTTCGGTGTTCAGCCTTCTTTATGGTCCAACTCTCACATCCATACACATGACTACTGGAAGAACCATAGCTTTGACTATACAGATCTCTGTTGGCAAAGTAATGTCTGCTTTTTAATATGCTGTCTAGGTTTGTCATAACTTATATGTGTACCTATATCTATATATGATCACATAATCTAATAGATTAGAGCAGTTACAAACTCAGTCCTCTGGCAGTCACTCAGAATCCACATAAGCTTTCAGAATAAAGTCCATGCTCATATCATATTCCCTCTGCCTGGCATGTTTGCTTTATTCCCTTCATTGTCTATACCAAATACATTTCTATTTTTCCTCCAAGATACAGTTCAGGATCCCTTCCCACAATTTGCCCATCTTAATGGTATTTTCACTCTCAACTCTTTTATGGTATCTGGTATAGTATGTGCTCAACATATATTTTATAAAGTAATAATTGTACTGCTAGATGCAAAACTGGAGTAGGAAATGGCAATCCTCTTGCCTGGGGAATCCCATGGACAGAGGACCCTGGCAGGCTACAGTCCATGCAGTCGCAAATGAGTCAGACACGACTGAGCGACTAAAGCAAAATAAACAGATGCAAGATAGTGATGAAAGACAGAAGAGAAACCTTGTTTATTTAATCACATATTATTTACTAGCATAGAGAATTTAGTGTATAAAGGTAGGTAGAGTATGTTCTGGGATGAGCTAATTATTTTAGAAATTGTAACCTGACAAATTTCACAGAACAGCTGAAATGCAGGATGGAAATTTCAGTAAGACTTGTGCCAATAACATAAGCAGACTTTTTAAAAGTGTATTTGAGAGACAGGACTTTCTAACTAAGTGGTAGAGGTTAAAAATTAAGAAGATAGCTTTAGAATTCATATTTAAGACCCAGCCAAAAAAAAAAAAAAAGGAAATGCTAGTTTGATAACACATGCTATTTATGTAGTATACTTAATTAAGTCAGATATTTAATTATCACTGATTATTCTATTTTCACTTAATGCTCTGGAAAGCATCCTATCTTAATTTCATTTTAAAGTGCAATACAATCATCCCACACACCTTCATTTGTTCATCTTTTTCAGGTTTATTCCCTGCTGTCCTGAATCTTGCTTCCAATGCCCTCATCACCACAAATGCAACATGTGGAGAGAAAGGACCCGAAATGTATTGCAAGTTGGTAGAGCATGTCCCTGGGCAGCCGGTGAGGAACCCTCAGTGTCGGATCTGCAATCAAAACAGCAGCAATCCATACCGTATGTATTTAGGATTACCTTGTATGGAATTGGGTGGAAGCTACTACTGAGAATGTTGAGGCCAAAGTGCATTAGTCCACGGGCTTGTCTTCTCAATTTCTAGATCTTTTCTTCCACTGTGAGCTTTACAGCCCTTCTCTGTCACTGACAAATATTAAAATTCCCTATGTGTAGTGGGTATGGTGCTTGAGGATATTTTTCTAGCTGAAGACCTGTGGCAGTCATTGACCTTACTGTCTGCAGAAAAGTATCTGAGGGTGTGGTTATGAATAAAGGCTTTAGTAGGTCAGTGGTCACTGTGTCCAGGTACTATACTAGGAATACAGCAGGAATAAGATGTGGTCTCTGGCTCAGTTGAAGAATTGGCAAGAAGCAGATTATTGCTGTAAAGGGTGGTAGGTATCAAGGAAAGAATGAGCATAGGGACTTCAGGAAGAAGGAGAAGGGTCATGGATTCAGTCCCGGTATAGCTGGAGGCTTGCCAGACGGGCATCTGAGCTGAGATCCAAGGGCAAATATGAGCTGAGAATGCAAAGAGGAGACAGAGGGACGAGAAGGAACCCCAGGAGGCGGGGCTCATAATAAGATAGAAAACATACTTGCTGGGAGAACTACAAATAGTTAGAAACGGCTGCATATGAAAGTGTCAGAGGGCTGGGACCAGTCTGTATGCTTAAATACCATAGGAATAGTGTTTTAAGGAGAAGTGTCATACAAAGCTCTCTTGGTTGGCCTCTAGAAACCACACTTATATCTCAGACTCATTCATGCATTTATTCAGCAAGCATTTTAAGACAGGCTCCTGGTAATGCATTGTTCTGAAGCTGAGTGTTGAATCATACATAGCCCTTGAGTTAATTGAATAAAGGCTTTAGTAGGTCAGTGGTCACTGTGTCCAGGTACTGTACTAGGAATACAGCAGGAATAAGATGTGGTCTCTGGCTCAGTTGAAGAATTGGCAAGAAGCAGATTATTGCTGTAAAGGGTGGTAGGTATCAAGGAAAGAATGAGCATAGGGACTTCAGGAAGAAGAAGGTCATGGATTCAGTCCTGGTATAGCTGGAGGCTTGCCAGACGGGCATCTGAGCTGAGATCCAAGGGCAAATATGAGCTGAGAATGTAAAAAGGAGACAGAGGGACGAGAAGGAACCCCAGGAGGCGGGGCTCAGAATAAGATAGAAAACATACTTGCTGGGAGAACTACAAATAGTTAGAAATGGCTGCATATGAAAGTGTCAGAGGGCTGGGACCAGTCTGTATGCTTAAATACCATAGGAATAGTGTTTTAAGGAGAAGTGTCATACAAAGCTGTCTTGGTTGGCCTCTAGAAACCACACTTATATCTCAGACTCATTCATGCATTTATTCAGCAAGCATTTTAAGACAGGCTCCTGGTAATGCATTGTTCTGAAGCTGAGTGTTGAATCATACATAGCCCTTGACTTAAAGGCTTAGGAAGGGAAATAGGGGAGACAGAAAAGTAAATTGAGTGCTAAGGGAACACCTAGGGACTCCTGGGGAAAAAATGACCCATATGCTTAGAAAATAAGGGTTAGTAAGACAGAAAGGGGAAAATTAATGTATATAAAAAGCATACAGAAATTTGAAGACAGGAAACAGCATGATATATTCAGAGAACTATAAGAAATCAGGTTCAGTCAGTAAAGAATTTATATGGATAAGGGGAAAATGGTGTGAGATAATTCTAGACATGGGAGTTGATTTGTAGACATACATTAAGAAATCATCAAATATTGGAGATATTAATGCAGTGAATACTTACTATCAGTGAGGTGAATTACGATAGAGATACAGTTTCACAATTATATTATTTTAAAAATTAGTTTTTCCTCTCTTTTGGTTCAAAGTTGAGATGCTTATAAAGTGAAAAAGCTTTTTCTCAGAATTTATATATTTTTATCTTGAAAGAAAGCTGGAAGGTACCCTGCATTCTTTCTTGGAGCTGGTTAAAGGGAAGATTGCCTAGTCCTATCTCTATTATACAGTTTAGAGATGCTGAAAACTTTAATATTGTTCTGTTTGAAGAACTGGGACTTTTGTGAATATGGTTTCTGGTCTTATATATCACAGAATGTTTTTAAGAAAAAGTTAAGAAACCAAAGATGCCAAGCTTCTGAAACCTTTCTTACCATTTAAATAACTCTCATTATTTTCTAAGATGTAGATTGTTATTGGTGTAGGAGGGATAATATTAGAACATATCCTATCTATTTGCTATTCTTTTATAGAATAGTATGGGCAAAGCTGAGGCCAGAGCCAGGGGAAACATCAGGACAAGAAGATTGAGGTAAAGGCTAGAAAATAAATGAATTGATGGACTATGAGCTGTAGGTTCATTAGGGAAGAAGATGAAGCTTCATGGGAAGAACTTTGCCTTTGGTGCAAGAATCGGTGGCCTTGATTTCATTGAATATGAGAAAGCCTGGAGACATGAAATGATTGGGAGGGGATTATCGGGGTGGTTGAGGGTGTTTTGAAGATGCGTTGGGCAGAGAGAGAGTTAGATAAAGTTTGCAAAATCATATATATGTGTATTTGTGTGTGTGCATATATACATGCATGTGTATATATGTAGGGCTATCTATACATGTATGTATATAAATATAAATATTTATAGTTCCTGTCTACAAGTACAATGTTAGGATAAACAGCACTTGGGTATAAAAGGCAATTTAACAAATATTCAAGGGAGTAAACTCAGGTCTATACCTTAGGGTACATGTCATCGATGATGTTGAATTTTGAAGAAAGAAAACATCAGTGGACCCCGTGGTAACAAAAGAGTTCCAAGAAGGTTGTCAGACTCAGGTTTAAAAACCTGAATTACCTGTGATAAGAGGGAAAGGCATTCCAGAAAAGGAGAAACTGAAGGAAATGTATATATAGATACAGATGAAAGGAAGGTACAAAGATTCAGGTAGACAATAATTGAGTAGATATTTTGTTGGGAAAACGAGATGTATTCACCAAGTTAAGTCCTTGAGTGAATGTTTGAATCTGGAAGGTCTGTACTTAATTATCACACAAATAAAGGGAAATTTGAACCTCCTGGCTATTAATGGATTGTGCTTTCCAATTAAAATAGCAGTTTGAAAGTTTTACTTCATCAATGCTTCCCTTGCCAATTTTCAGTTGCAGTTAGTCTTTGGATTGACTTGAGTAACTATGAGAATGTTTTAAGTTTCTATCTCTTTTTAAATAAGGGAAATATGCCAAAATTAATCGGTATTTGCAAATTAATTATGACTAAAACTTTCATAATAGAGATTATGGTTAATTGTTGATTCATCTCCCAGTCTTCCTTTTCATGATTAATTTTCATATCAATTTAACCTGAGGTGGTAGATTTCAAAATTTCCAATTAGATAGCTCCTCTCACAATTACCTACAAGCCACAAGTGTGATTTGGAAATGTGATTGTGTGCATATTTTTCTATCACGTGTTAAACCCACAACTGGAAAGAAGCTTCTGGAGGATGTTGAAGGAACATATGCTGTGATATGTATTTTTCTTCAGAAGCAATGCAAGTAATATTTCATTTATGGTTCTGATATTTAATGTGCTGATTTCAGCACCCACTCATACCACCAAAGGCATTTATTTGATATTTGGTTATCTTCAGGTATTTGTTGTTATTATAAAGACCGAACACTTTCCCTGTCTTCAGCAGAATAAGTTAACTAGTGCTAAATTATTACATTTATTCAGCAATTTTGCTTTTCATTAATGAGATAAGGTCTCTCATCTAAGTGGACTGCTGCTATAATAAGACGTGGTAGAAAACAAAGTCCATCAAACTGTTCATTTGAATTAAATAATTTACCAATATAAATAGATTATTTTTGTCTTGTCCTGTAAACTCATATTACCATAAGTAAATCAAAGATTAAAAAAACCTTTATATTTTCAGTTAAAGAAGTTATAGCAGACTATGTTAATAAAATTAATATGTAATAAAAATGTTCACAATCTGAAAATGGCAAATTTAATAAATATTCTGTTTTTATAAATTTTTTGAAAGATGGTTTTATTTTGCCCTCAGATTTCTTTTGCATTGAGGCCTGCTTGGTTTTTATTTTAAAAATTTTTATTAAATATAATTTATCACCAGTAAAGATTCAGAATTCTGCATATTTTGAACAGATATATAATTCATTCTATGTATATGCTCTAGTATTCTTTCCTGGAGAATTCAGTGGACAAAGGAGCCTGGTGGGCTACAGTTCTTGGGGTTGCAAAGAGTCAAATACAGCTAAGTGACTTTCACTTTTCACATATACATAATAATGGTTAGAATATTAATGACTATAATGTTCTTCTGGTAGCTCTGTGAGTTGAGAGTTCCCATCCAAAATATTTTTATTGGTCCATGGCAAAATGAGAAAATGAGAATAAAATTCTAATTTTTTATGAGGATAAAATAATTACCTGTTGAAGAATTTTATTTCATCTTAATATTATGATTTTTTAAAGCTTTTGTTGTTTTTAAACATCCTCCATTTTATGAAACAAGTGATGATATCTTAAATAGTAGTCGTAGCAAGACTAGACTGGACACTACTATTACTTGGAGAAATAAAGAGCTGTAACTCCAATTTGAGTTATATCACTAACTCCACAATTGGTATATATTTTGGAGTCATATCAATTCCACAAATCTCTTTCACATACATTTTTTTATACTTTTTCTGAAAGTTAAGATTTTTGGGAACTCGTACCATGAATAGAGTTTTATTATCTTCACTTCAGTAATGACACAGAGTTTAAGTGACTTGTCCATGGGCAGTTAAATGCTAAATGGTGGATCCAGGTGGACTGTCCAACTTCTCATTCTCCAGAGCTTCACGGCTCAAACCTTACGTGCTTTTATCACCAGCATCTTTAAACGCCTGGCTGTGTTACCGCATTATGTCCACAGACTGAGTCCATGATTGTTCCTCATAGTGATACGGTTTCCTCATTGTTTTAAATATTCCTTCCTGCAAAAAAGATGATGTTCTAATAAAAGAGTATTCTTAAGCCATTCATTTGAGAGAGCCTTCCAAAGGATTAGTGTTATAAAAGTTCTCAGGACTGACGCTCCAAATAATTAATCCATATTTACCAGAGTAGCAGGGACGGAGGAGCCTGGTGGGCTGCAGGCCATGGGGTCGCGAGGAGTCGGACACGACTGAGCGAGTTCACTTTCACTTTTCCTTTCATGCATTGGAGAAGGAAATGGCAACCCACTCCAGTGTTCTTGCCTGGAGAATTCCAGGAAAGGGGGAGCCTGGTGGGCTGCTGTCTAGGGGATCGCACAGAGTCGGACACGACTGATGCAACTTAGCAGCAGCAGCAGCAGGGAAGCCAACCTCTTCCCTGTTTACATTTCTGCACGTAAGTAGGCTGACTTCCAAGTGGGATGTTAGGGAGTTAAGAACTCTTACTGCAGCCCTGGGAATAGAAATAGGAACATCCTCAACAGCCTTTCACTGTTGCCATCCTCACCCATTCCTGAGCTGGGCCGGATTAGGAGCAGAACTTGTATTACTTGGGAAATAAAAAGCACAGATACAGACAAGAATGAATGACTGTAAACCAAAAAGGAACAAGAATTTTGGCATTCATTCCAGAGGTGGTTGCTGTTGTGAGATGCATGGAACTAAGCAGGAGAAGACAAGGCGTCCATGAGTTTTGAGGATTATAAGAAGGAAGGAGCTGTAAGAAAGGATTGTCAAGGGATGTGGCAACAATTATCCACACCTCCTCTTTTCTGTTCCAGTGTTGCCTTAATTCTCACAATAGGTCCTGTTCTCATCTATTTGGAGTAAAGGCAAGGGAAGACCCATGCCTTATTAGTAGGATGGAGGCTCATGTGCGATCCTATCCTTGTCTTTATTGTCCAGAACCTCACTGTTAGTGACTATGGGGGTGAATGGGTATCATCCTGATTGGGAGATTTGGAGTATCTTTCATTTTATTTTTAAATAATGGTTTAAATACAAAGTTGGCAGATTGAGGACTGACTGCAAAAAGCCTCATAGGATGGATTTGACAGCATTTTTTATTAAAACCTGATACATATTGAATTGCCCAAGTCTTGGTAATAATGTATGTGTCAGAAGGCCAAATCTTCAAGTACCTTTCAACCACAATTCAGGATTTTATGTTTCTGTTCACAAAGTTGATGGCATACTAGAGCCAGCTCAAACAGTAGAGTTTTTGCTTCTGTGAGTGACTGACACATCAATTAGATTTCAATATTATTTTTTCACACTTAATTTCTGTAGTTATCTTTAAAGTTGCCCATTTTAGTTGATAGCCAGAGTGCTGAACTGCATCTTCTCATATAGTTTAAGTATTTAACCATTTCATACTACCTTGCAGAATGCTGTGAAAAAGTCTACATTAAACCAGTTCTTTTAGAGATACAAATTGCTCTCTGTTTCTATTATTTTAATGTTTGACATTCACATGGTGATGGTTTTAACTTCATTTTGCTTTTTGCTTGTAAAAACAGCTATAAATTCTTTATATGATCTTTTCTTCTTTCACATGTTGCCGCTGATTCAATAGAGAGGCACCCGATTACAAATGCTATTGATGGCAAGAACACTTGGTGGCAGAGTCCCAGTATTAAGAATGGAATTGAATACCATTATGTTACAATTACGCTGGATTTACAGCAGGTATAGTACCTCTTTTTATTTATTGATTTTATCATTTTCTTCTTTGAAATTGTATTTCCATTTACTATTTGTATACTTACTAGTTCTTGGGTGAAAGGATACTCTTTTATTACCTTCCATTATTTTCTTGACACAGTGACAAAAGGTGACATTTAGTATATTGTTATTTAAAAATATTTGGCATTTATTTCTAAAGCACAATTAAAATGAATTCACATGAGGAATTTAAAACTGAATTAGGAACTGACTCTAACTAATGAGGGTTAATGATAAGAATACTGGTCAACAAAATTTTACATAAAATATAACAGTAACATTTAAATTTTATTTTTGTTGGTCACACCACATGTCTTATGGAATCTTAGTTCCCCAACCAGGGAAGAAACCTGCACCCTCAGCAATGGAAGTGTGGAGTCCTCACCCCTGGACCACCAGGGAATTCTCATGTTTTAACTTTAAAAATAATAGAGTGCTGCTACGCTGTTCATGGTGTGTATACTAAAAGGTTCTTCGATAACCAGGCTCTTGAGTAAATTGCCTCTCATTACTGAGATTAAACAAGCTGTGGCAGTTGATTCTTAACTTACACTTGGGCCAGTAAATGAGGTACCAAGCCTTGTAGTTGTATAAAAGTTGATGTTGGAGTTTGTTAGTGTTTGTGACACACAGGTCTAGGTACCTTCTATGCTTCATTTCTTTCTCCTTTCTGTTCACCGTATTCAGCTCAGGTTGAAATGTTTAGTCAAGAATAACCATCACCCCAAATTATTTAGGGTTGCAAATAGGATGGAATCTGGAAGAATGTTCCTATATTTTACTGTTATTCCAAATACAAATTTTCTTCGATTGTCTGAAGGCTGAGACTGGAAATACTGAGCCTGGAGGACTTCTTTAGCCTGGCCTGTTCTTCCCTCACTCTCTGCGGTCGGCTCAGAAAGACTCGGCCAGTCCTCCCTGCACTGTGGGCGCAGAGCGGCAGAGGAGTGTGGGGTTCGTGGGGAAGATGTAGCTAAAGTTGCCAGTGACAGACCCTGCACGGGAGAGGCTGTGTTTTCACGCGTGGTCACAGCGGAGGAAAGCACCAGCCAGGGGGAGTTAGTTATGCTCTCAGGAGGCCTCATGGGCACCAGGTGTCTCCCTAGTGGGTGCTGTTTGTCACCAACAGGAGTATGTACTGTCCCCCTTAGGTTCAGGGCCCGTTATGGCCAGGGTGCCCAGATTCAGGAACTGCACAGAGCTGGTGGGTGGGCCTCAAGGCAGACTCTCTTTCCACCTATCTGGAACTCATTTTGACCCGAGCAGCAGGGTAGTGGCAGGGACCCAGTACCGTAGCAATTGCCCACAGGTGTGGATTTGTCCTACTCATCATACTAAGTTGCTTCAGTCGTATCAGACTCTGCGACCCCATGGACTGTAGCCCACTAGGCTTCTCTATCTTTGGGATTCTCCAGGCAAGAATAAGGGAGTGGGTTGCCATGCCCTCCTCGAAGGGATCTTCCTGCATTGCAGGTGGGTTCTTTACCTCTAGCACCATCAGGGAAGCCCTTACTCATTTTCTACTTATGTGGGCAACTGAATAACAGCTTCAAGTTAATAGTATTTGTCAGGAAGTCTCAGAGTACAATCAGGGAAGGCAGGCAAACCACTACACTGACGAATTATGCTTTAGTGAAATCTTGTACATGAATTCCCTTAACATCCTAGCCTCAAAATGGACTTCATCCCTCTCTGGATAAACACAGATGCATCCTTTCCCAGTCACAGCAGCCGTCCCCTGCCATATGGTCACTAAAAGTTGCAGTCTAGCTTTCCAGGCAGGAATGAGTCTGCTGCCTATTGTTTTGGGTCATCTCCTGGGATAGAGAAGCACTAAGTAGTGACGTTTCATTGCTCAGGTTTACTCTTCACCTATGCTTTTAGATCACACATGGAGCAAGACACTCAACTATTAATATAATTTGCTCAAATCATGTATACTATTCTTTGAGCTCAACCACAGTAATGTTAACAGGCAGAGCTCATTTCATTGTGATTCATTTTGTGTTTCACAGGTATTGCATTTTTTTTTCTTTTTTTACAAATTGGAGGATTGTGACAACTCTGTGGCCAACAAGTCTCTTGGCACCATTTTTCCAACTGTCTCTGCTCACTTCATGTCTCTGCGTCATATTTTGGTAATTCTTACAGTATTTCAAACTTATTCATTATTATTACATTTGATATGTAATCTGTGATTAGTGAGCTTTGATGTTGCTATTACAACCTTTTTTTTTTGACTATAGCTCACCTGCAGTGAGCTTGTTTAGATGAGGCGTCCTGCACAGGGTGGTTGGATGATGCCAGGTCTTGTACTCAAGTGGTTTCCTTTGTGTGAGTTCTCACTGTTTGATACTCCGTGGCACCCCACTCCAGTACTCTCGCCTGGAGAATCCCATGGACAGAGGAGCCTGGTAGGCTGCAGTCCATGGGGTCGCTAAGAGTTGGACACGACTGATCAACTTCACATTCACTTTTCACTTTCATGCATTGGAGAAGGAAATGACACCCCACTCCAGTGTTCTTACCTGGAGAATCCCAGGGACGGGGGAGCCTGGTGGGCTGCCGTCTACGGGGTCACAGAGTCGGACACGACTGAAGTGACTTAGCAGCAGCAGTAGTGTTACTTCTCTGGTAGTCTAGGGTCTTGGAGTCAGCGCTCTTACTCCAAAGGCTCAGGGCTTGATCTCCAAAGGGTTTTTTCTCACTCTTGCAACATGATTGTAAGAGTCAGCTGTGGTTTTCCTCTGCATCATCTTCATTCTGTGACCCAAGTGGAAGAAGAAATACCCTTGCGACCCTGGCTTGTGCCAAGTTAAGGCTGCAGCCCAGATGATGAGACTTCTCATTCAGTCTCCTTTCCTCCTTTCCATTTCCCCAAACGTGGCTGCTTGTAAAGATGCTTACGAGGAGGCTGGCACTCTGCCCGAGCCAAACGTGGAGGCCTGGGCTCTGTACCCTACGGCAGGGGATATGAAGGTGAAGGAAGCCAGCAGCCTTCCTTGCATGGAACTTGCCCTCGGTAATGTGGCAACAGCAGGGATGCTTGCTACCCCAGAGGCAGAGGGTAAGGCAGAGCACACGACACGGTGGCAAGAGGCCTGGTGTTTCCAGGTGCCAAAGCCACAGAGCCCCAAAGACGCCAACCCGGTGCAGCAAATAGCAGGAAGAAACCTCTTCACCCAGACCTCGTGAGAGGGGCCGGGTCAGGTGGGAGGGGTTGGACCAGCAAGCTCTATTACAACTTTTTGGGGTCCATGAACCATGGAGCTATATAAGAAGATGAACTTAGTAACTGTTGCGTGTGTTCTGACTGCTCACTAATCGGTCATTTTCTCATCTGTCTTCCTTTCTTTGGGCCTTTCTATTGCCTGAGACATGCAACAGTGAAATTCCTAACCCTGCAGTTAATAACTTTGCAATAGCTTCTGAGTGTTCAAATGTAAGGAAGAGTTGCATAACTCTCACTTTATAATCAAAAACTAGAATTAAATAAGCTTAGTGAGAAAGGCATGTCAAAAGCCAAGAGAGGCAGAAGACTTGTTCTCTTGCAACAGGTAGTCAAGTTTTGAATGCAATGGAAAAGTTCTTAAAGGAAACTAAATGTCCACTGCACCGAACACACAGATGAGTAGGAACCCAGGTAGCATTATTGCTGACCTGTGAACATTTTATTGATCTTGAAAGGAGATCAGACTAGCTAGAGCCTTCCCTTCAGCCAAAGCCTAATCCAGAGCTAGGCCCTAACTCTGTTCAATTGTGCAGAGGCTGAGAGAGGTGAGGAAGCTGCAGAAGAAAACTGTGAAGCCAGTAGAGAATGATTTACGAGGTTTAAAGAAAGAACCCATCTCCATAACATATAAGTGTCAGGTAAAGCAGCAAGTGCTGATGTAGATGAGATGCAAGCTGCAGCAAGTTATCCAGAGGATAATCGTGAAAATGGGGACAACAGATTTTCAATAGTCTTCTATTGGAAGAAGATACCATTAGGGCTTTTATAGCTAGAGACAAGAAGTCAATACATGGCTTTAAAATCTTTAAAGGACAGGCTGACTTTCTCTTAGCCTGGACTTGGAGGCTAATGTAGCCAGTGACTTGGAGGTAAGCCCATTTACCATTCTAGAAATCCCAGGGCCCAAGTGAATCTTGCATAATCTATTAAATACTCTGCCTGTGCTCTATAAATGGAACAACAAAGCCTAGATGATTGCAAGCTGTTTTCAAGGTGGTTTACTAAATATTTTAAGCCTACTGTTGAGAACTATTGCTCAAAAAAAAAATCCTTTCATAATATTACTGCTCATTGGCAAAACATCTAGTCACTCAAGAGTACTGATAGAGATGTACAGTAAGATTTATGTGGTTTTCATGCTCGCTAATGCAGGATCCATTATGCAGTCCATGGATCAAGGAATAATTTCAACTTCTATGTATTATTATTTAAGAAATATATTTTGTAAGGCTACAGCTGTCATAGTGATTCTTCTGATGGATCAGGGCAAAATAAATTGAAAATTTTTGGAAAGGATTCAACATGCTAGATGGCATTAAGAAGTTAGTGATGCCTAGGAAGAGCTCAAAATATCAACTTTGATAGGAGTTTGAAAGAAGTTGGTTTTAACCCTAATGGATGACTTGGAGCAGTTCAAGACTTTAGTAGAGAAAGTAGCTACAGATGAGGTAGAAATAGCAAGAGAACTGGAATTAGCACTGGATCTTGAGATATGACTGAATTCCTGCAACCTCATGATTAACAGATGAGGAATTGCTTCTTACGGATGACCAAGGAAACTGATTCCCTGACATGGAATCTACTCCTGGTGACAATGTTTTAAGGAGTGTTGACATGACAAAAAAAGGAATTAGAATATTACATATCTTAGTTGACAAAGTAGCAGCAATGTTTGAAAGGATTGACTCCAATTTTGAAAACATTTGGGTGAAATGTTATCAAATAGCATTGC